TATATATATATATATATTTTTAATAACGTTTACAAAATCACACATGCGCGCGCGTACGAGTCTATGAACAGATTGTGGCGTAACAGTATACTGTGTATATATTAATGCGCGATACTGAAGAACAGTCCGAAACAAAGCTATAATTGAAACTCGCGAATCATAAGAATTTTGTCTAGAATAAATTGTAAATTGTGATGATTAAGCTCGAGTGATTGTGATATGCATCCTTTATCCTCATCTATTATATACACGCCCAATCCGACTAACCAGCTTCTTTTCTTATAATTTTATCAAGAACACAGTACTGCGAGAAACAAGTGCAAGTGTATCTACCATGATTACAACCAACCAATCAATCACCCACCCATCTACCTACCTTACCGTTGAATACACACTCTCATCTATTGTTCGACACGTCCGAAAGATCCAAATTGCTGGCAACGTCGGTATATCCTCCGTATATCCTGGCTCGTATATCGAGATTTTGTTCCTATCGATCGCTCCGAGATTCCAATTATTTGAGATATCCTAAAAGATGACCATTTTTTAAATTTTTATTCGTGTAAACGGTTAGTAGCGAGCGTATCGAAGTGAACGAGTCTCGACGCGTAGTACTGTGTCTTGAATTTCATTTATGATTTGCTGGCATACAGCCGTGCCATCATCACCACCACCATCACCACTACCACCACAACTACTACTACTATTGCTACTACTACTACTACTACTACTACTACCACATCCGAACCTGTGATACGAACAACCGTATCGGTTCCTCCGACGCTGGTAGTCTCCGAATCGACGAACCGAGACTACAGGGTGAATCAGCAACCATTGCAACGCTCGCAAACCGGAGGATTGGAATGCGTGCAACCACGTACCCCCAGTCCAACAAAGAGTAGGCTAAACTTCCTGGAAGGATTTAAGAATACTCTACGTACACGCTCGCCGATTCGCAACAATTCCATCCCGGTGAGCCACACAATCCTGATTAACATGTTTTTAAATTTTAATTGATAAATACACACACATTATTATTCGTATCAATTGGAATTCTTGATGATTGCAGCAAAGGGGCTCTTCCTCTTCTTCTTGATGCCTGTCACTATCTACCGCTATCTATTGCATTATCTTCTGTTGGCGCAACGATTGTTATATACTTGTATCATTAAAAAACTCTATCGACTATCGAATGATCCATGAACGTCATACGCTATTACATATATTCTCTTAACTTGTGTAATGAAACCTCACACACTGACGTAAAGCAAATGTTACACGTACATACCTACGAGGGAGATAATCGCTAGAAAGATGGAAAGAAATTCCAAAATTTCTTGTAACGAATTACTTTTGATTCTGCAAACTCCATTGTCTCTTCTAACGTCTTGTTCACCATACACACGCGTGCGCGCTATAATATGTATTATACTCTACACTGCTGATTTTTTTACCACCGTTACCATCAAACATTACTGCTATCTATAACAATCTATATTCTACCGCTGCTACTCTATACTGCTGATTCTAAAACCAATGCTACTACTATGCTGTTATTTTCTTCTCTACTGGGATCGCTACTATCATCATATTACCACTACCATCGTTGCATTACGATACTGGAAGCTCTTCTTGGGTCAAATCTTCTGTCGCATTCAAAGTGAATACAAAATACGGGGCAAGCTGCATGAAAGATACGCTTAACAACATGAAGAAAGTTCGAGAAGACTCTTGTAACAAAGGAACTTCCTTAGGTCGTTCCAGGTGCACGCGTAAGATTGGCTGCGGATTGGGGAAAGTTACATGCCGGAGACGAACTTGTTATCTCCCACTTGGACGGTCCGGGCTTAGTGGTGTCCCCTGTCAATACCAGAGACGAGTTGTGGATCCCGGCGAGTCTTATTCCGAACTCGGCAATCAGCCGATCGTGGTCGTTTCGACCACGGAAGATTGATCTCGCAAGATGCCACGTCACCGATCCCCGGGAATTAACGACGACAACAATAACGTACCCCGAAGACAAAAGGCCAATTATCCTGAATAGTCCGACATCGATGATTCGCGCGACCGTTGGTGAAGTCGTTAGACTGTCCATTGAGACGCACAACGCGGATAATGCGACTGTCGCCTGGAGGAAGGAGGGCGAGAATCAATATATAAGAGAGAATGATCGATATCAGTTCCAACGAAGCGCGGGCTTTGTATACTTACAAATCAATGGTTGCCGAACTTCAGACTCCGGGATATATCACTGTCATCTAATAAGTGAAACAGACTCTTCCTCCGCTGGAATTTCTCTCTACATCGTAGGTATGTCTGATGAAATATCCCAATGTAATATAACAAGTATTTTAGATGTATCGTTAAATCCTGATTGTGTGTTTCAGGCGGAAAGAGTAGCACTTCCGCACGTGTTTTAGCATGCTCAAAGGTGGAGATCGATTGGGACAGGCAAGAGATCAGTGGTGGGTCGTGTAATATAGAATGCAGAATTTTACCATCGCAACAATGGGTGGCGATATCGAAACAAGTTAACGAGCCACCTGTTTTACTGAATGTGTCAACGGATGCTTCATATAGTTTTCGAGTGGCGGATGACGATGGGAGAACGACTTCACCATCGATCGTAGTGACCCTATCGCGATCAGACGTCGGTGGTGGCACGGAATGGGAAGCCAAGCAGTTTATTAGCAGGTATTTGGAGCTAGACGAACTGGGTAATGGTAGATTTGGCACAGTTCGCCGTGCCAGGGATAAAGGCACCGGTCAAGAGGTGGCACTCAAGCAAATTCCACGACACAAGCAATCGAGATTACTGACGCGCGCGGAATACGACGTGCTGGCTTCCACTCATCACGCTAACATTGTCAGAGCGTTCGCATTGTTCGAGAACGCGCCTCGATCTGGAGTCGACACCATTGTCTTGGAACTGTAAATATTCACAACAAAAGCATTTTGATAACATAGCCATCTTTGTTATCACAGTATTAAGCAGTATTAAACAGTGTTTTCCTCCCTGTAGGGTCAGAGGTCCAACGTTGTTTGCACATTTGAGTGAAAAAACGGAATACACCGAGGCAATGGCGACACGATACACTTATCAGCTGTTATCCGCATTGCATTGGTTACACTGTCGCAGCTGGGCGCATCTGGATATAAAACCGGAGAACATTCTGATTGATCATGAGATGGACCAGGTGAAGGTAATAGATCTGGGCGAAGCAGTTAGAGCTCCCATTGACGAAATTGTGCCGCCCCCTGCCGATTTGGAATTTGCAGCACCGGAGTCGGTACTAGGTAGACCGACCGGCACTTACACGGATATGTGGGCCGTCGGAGTTTTTATTTATGTTTTGCTAAGGTATTCTCCTGAAATTGCTTATTTATTTGAATTTTGAATTATTTCTTTTTATACTGCACTGTCCGTGCCTCATCTTTTGAATATCACAGTGGATTGTCGCCTTTTTTGGACGACTCCGTCGAGGAAACCACCGCCAACATTCTTAAGTGCGATTTCTGTTTTCCCGACGAATATTTCAAGATTATATCCAGCGATGCAAAGGAACTCCTCAAGAGAATGTTATGCCTGCGTGGTGAGGATCGAATGAACACAGAAACCTGCCTTGGTTCGCCATGGTTAAAAGTAATATAAAATCATACTTGATTGTTCCCTAAAATAATAATTTATCATTTTATGGTGTCAATTCTTCGATATTGCGTTGAAATTTAATAAAACGTTTGTCCATTTTTTAAAATTAGATATCAACTGGTGCTACCATACCGTCCACTAGAATGGTCGCATTTATAGAACGTCGTGCACACTGTTTTAAACTGCATCAAGACCATAATGACAGTTTTCATTCCTAAGATCAACAATGCAGTAAGCATGTTACTTAAAATACATGACAAATTTACATATGTAAATAGCAAAATATACTTAAATGTTTAATTGTTGATATCTTCATTAAAAATTCCGATATATTGATTAAAACTGTTTTCTTTCCTCCCCTTATTTCATGAAATTCTCTTTTTATATTTCCATTTTAAATATTCGTCAGCGATTGAATCGATAATGAAAATGTTTCAATGACATTTTACTCCTATTTGAGTATTTAGAACATTTTTATTGTTTTTAAATGTTACGAAAAACAAAAGTTTTAATACAAAATATTGTTTCGAATGAACAAATATGATAAAAAGTTTGATATTTGTTTAGGCTGTGTTCCAAAATTTACTGCCAGTACTGAAAATCTATAAATCATGTGACGTGAATTATAGATTTTCAGTACTGGCAGTAAATTTTATAACAAAGACTTAGGGGCTCTACACAATAAAAGGAACAGGGAACAGAACAGAGAATTTCAATCTATCGGAAACTATTCCACAATACATGATTTCTGACAGATTGCAATTCTTATTCTTTGTTCTCTCCTTTTATTATATAGAGCTAAGGCTTTATTATAAAATTTACTTAGCCCCTTATAGTGTTTTCGGCCCAATAGGATTTGTACAAACTTGGGTTGGCAAATGCTTCGCTATTGGTTGACGTTACACGCTTTACCAATAGAAAAAGACGGAACATCATTACTTCAACACAGGTTTGTGCGAACTTGTCGGGCCGAAAACGCCATTAAAAAAAATGTACTTGTGCCTTGTTCAAACCATGATGTAAAAAGATAGGTGTACTATTCCCATGGATGCGCAATCGTCTAAAGAGTCAATCAGAAATTGCCCAGGACGTCAGAATTCAATATGACTGCAAAGTGATACACTGCAACTGCTGTACATTTGCTCCACTTCGCTTTCCTTTTCGAGGAAAATTTTACTCGAAATATATAGTACACGTAACGTATACTATGGCATATAGAATAAAATCTTCCTCGGAGAGGAAGTTTTGTAATGTAGCCTAGGTAACTATAGGAACCGCTCAAACCATGCCGCTTGCTTCTTTTTTCCTCTATTACATGTAGCGCGATAAGCGGCACGGGCCAGTGGTAAATTTACATTACTAAGCACTTTTTAATAGAATTAATTGATTTAAATGCAATTACTACGTAAATTCATTGAAATAATAAGAATTGATAAAATGTGCATAGAAATAAATTAATGTATTTAAAAAAATTCATATTAAAGTTTATTTATCACTAACTCGTGCCGCTTCCCGCGCTACATGTAATAGAGGAGAAAAAAGCAACCGGCACAGTTTGCGTGGTTCCTATGTATAGTTATTTAGGTTACGTTCCAAAACTTCCTTCCGAGAATTTTACTCGAAATATATAGTACACGTAACGTATATTATAGCATATAGAGTAAAATCTTTCTCGAAAAGGAAGTTTTGAAACGTAGTCTTAATTAGTTATTATATCGCGTACGGCGTACCGCGTATCGCGCTACATGTAATCGCACCCTAAGGGTAGCAAAGAGAAAGTAACAAACTCACATTACTATACACTGCTATTGCACATTACTATGTATACTTTTTAATGGAATTAATTGATTTAAACGCAATTATTAAATAAATCTGTTAAAAAAATAATATCGATAAAGTGTATATAAAAATAAGTTAATATATTTAAAAAAATTTATACAAATGTTAGTTTATCATTAGCCCGTGCCGCAAATCGCTCTATGTAATATCAGCGAAAGAAATAGGCGGAACGTAGTACGGGGTTTCCTAGTTGTCTAGTTAGTTACTATGAGTTACTGTACCGCGTATCGCATATCGCGCTCCATGTAATCGCACCCTTTTTTTTTTATTTGCGTAGGAGGAGAAAAAATCTTCGCAGCGCCCTCTCCCGAGGGGGACGCAAGGGATACCCATCGGAGGGGGGAAGAGGCCCAGCGGCCCGCACCACTGGGTGTGCCGGATTCGAGGATACACCGGAACGGCCGCCTACCGACTAAAAAACTCCCCCTGGTCCAAGCAATACCTCAAGGCATAAGTGGGAGCACTCCGGAACCGCCTACAGGCATTACGTCAGGGTGCCCCCGAAATGCTCGTGGGATGGCTCCCACCGCACATGCGGGAACGCCTATTTATATAACTAAAACGCTAAATATTAGGTGTAGTAAAAAGAAATCTATTATTTTTCCAATAGATGGCTTTAGTAATCTGTATCTCGCATTGTATAAGTGCGATCAGTTACGCCAAATGGCGTTAGAAAGATAAGATTTCGTACTAAAAAAACTTCTCAGACAGTTTTGTGATTGCTTGAGTCAGTATTGTTTGAGCGCGTGTCAAAGATGGACACCAACAAAGAGAAAATACGCCATATTTTACAGTTTTTCTTCGATAAAGGCGAAAACGCAAGCCAGGCGGCTGAAAATGTGAATAGTGTTTCTGGTCCTGATACTGTAACAGTCAATATCACGCAATTTTGGTTTCGTCGATTCCGTTCCGGTAATTTTGATGTCAAAGATGCATCACGCTCTGGAAGGCCAATTGTCGAAAATGTCGATAAAATAATGGAAATCGTCGAGTCCGACCGTCATGTAAGCACTGTTTCGATTGCCCAGGAGCTAAACATTGCACAAAAACCGTTCGGAACTATTTAAATAAGGCTGGATACAAAAAGAAGCTTGATGTATGGGTGTTACACGAGTTAACGCAAAAAAATCTCATGGACCGAATTTCCATCTGCGAATCGCTGCTGAATCGCAACAAAATCGACCCATTTCTGAAG